AACAGTGCTACTTGCTTAGGGTGTGGCCAGGAGCTGTTGTGTAATGCATTCTTAAGGAATTCTTTTATCTCTGATGGAAGATTCAGTAATGGTATGCTAGGTGTTTTATATACATTCATTCATTCATTCATTTTAGCCTCAAAGTGTTATCATGAGGTTGATATTAACCTCCACTGTATATGTAAGGAAATTGAAATTTAGAAGAGTTAACTTGCGCCACATCTTCTAATGACTGGCAAAGATAGAATTAGATGGTGAAACCACTTGGTGTAACTTAAGATTCCTCCCATTCCTTTTTTAAGAGTACCCTGTGAAAGGGAAAAACTATGTAGGTGTAATTGAATGAAAACATTTGCAGAAGAGCAGGATAGAATCATTGAGATCAGAATTGTCCTAGAAAGTGTGTGTGTGTGTGTATGTGTACATGTGTGTGTACATACTGCAGAGGCTACAGAACAGCCTCCATCAGAAAGGTGTGCAGTAGGGACAGATCTATAGGTTGGCTTTCATCCCCCATGCCTTCATACCCCAACTACCCCATCACCCTGGATGTCCAGATGCTGTGTAGTGTTAGTTGCAGCTGCTAAGGCATGGGGGCCTTGGGGGAGGAGGAGCTAAACAGAAGCATAGTGAAAAGCAACTTTGAAAAAAAAAGAGACAACAATTTAAAGATGAAAAGTTTAAATACTAAAGCATGTGATGGCCCCAAAAAGTTTTTTTGAAGTCTAGGGGGCTGGCTGGAGAGAAATAGTAATTCCTAATCATCTCACTGCTATTACAAGTTCACTAGTGAGTGCTTTCTTTGAAATCAAGTCTGGTTAAAGAGAAAATAGGAAGTGTTAACAGCTACAAGTTGTGTCTTCTTTTACAACACCATCGTTTGATTGGCAACTCTCTTAATATTCAGAATCTCCAGTCTAGTTTAACCTGAATTTGATTCTTTTGGTGTATTCCTTTCTTGTGTGAATTTAGCTTCAGTTACCGCTGCAATGGAAAAGTTTAGTCGATAGTGTGGTGTATACACTCAAACCTGTGTCAGTATTGAGAAATGCAGAGTAGCCTTCAAATATATTTCCTCTCGGGTTATATAAATCATTGCTCATCTTTGTCCTGGTCTCATTTTTATTTATTTTCCAGAGCACAAGCCAGCATGTTGTATTCATTGTAACAAACCTGTGCATGTAGGCAGGGAGTTTGGATCACTAAGAATGCATGTTGTGTAAAATTAGCTAAGTGAAGTGCTAAGCCACTCAGCCACTTGTAGACGTTAACAAATATGTGATAAGTATCCAACAAAAGATTTTTAGCTGAGGCCCTGCAGAAAATGCATACTAATTTCTTTCAACTCTCTTGAGTTTGGTATATCTTTAAATATTCAATACTTCAAAAAGATTTTTGAAGAAATTTTAAGTGTAAAGAAAGATATAAAGGATAATATCCACCCATGTTCCTACCACTAAAATTGTAACTACTAACATGTTAAGTTTTTTTTGTTTCTTTGATTTTTTTTTTTCATTTTGCCATAGGACTTGTATGTTTGCCAGAGAGAGACAGAAAGAGGTAAAGTGAGAAATCATCCCCCAGCAGGATGGCCACTGCAGTTCCTTCTCCTCCATTCTCCTCTCAGGATTTTGGGCACAGAATGCACATATTCTCAGCATGATTTTCAAGCCACTGAGTCTGGGACTCAAGCTGTGGCTCAGACATGTGGGAATCTAGCACCTTAACCATGACACCACCTACTGTGCCCACACTTTAAGATGTTTTTAATTTTAAAAAAAGAAACATTATAGGTAAAGATATCTGACACATTAACTCCAGTCCCATTCTCTTCCCCTATCTTTTTATCAATAACCTCTATCAAGAAAGTAGTATCTTTCTGATCAGTTTTGATACTCATACGTATGTGTGCTATGTATGTGCATATTAATATAGATAGCTGTTTGTATATATGTTCACATAATAGGCAAGCAACTGTGAACAATTAGTTTTGTGGGTGCTATTTAATATAGTATACTAGATGCACAGTAGCAATAATAGCTAACATTTGTTGAGTGGGGCTGAGAATTAATCCCGCAGTTGGGCTCTGGAGCCTGAGCTCTTAATCATCATGCTAAATGGCTTCTTCTCCGTATAACTCTGCAGGGTTCTTTACTTTGTCAATATCTTATTTCCAATATCCATGATTGTTGAATGCATAGATCTGCAATAATATCTGTTCACAGTTATAACATATCATTTAAAGAGTATATTACATAGGCAGCATTGCATCAGGGTTAAGGCCTATAAACTAGGAATAATAAAATTTTCTATCTCACAGAGTTGTTGTAATAAATGGTTTAGGGGCCAGCAGATGGTGTAGTAGTTAAGGCACTGGACTCCCGCATGGTCAGCCTCAGTTCGAATCCTGGACCTGGTGGCTTGAAACTCATACCAGGTGCATGTGCATGAATGCCCAACATCCTGTGAGGAGAATGGAGGAGGAGTAACTGTGGCACGACCAGTCTCCTGGGTGTGATTTCTTGCTTTCTGTCTCTCTCTCCAGCAAGTGCACACACCGCATAGCAAAAAATCTCTCAAAAAAATTAATTTACATAAAACAGGTAGAACTAAATCTGGCACAGATTTATTATCCAATAAGTGTTAGTTATTATTTGCTATTATAATAATTGTTAGTTATTATTTGCTATTATCATATATCCATTACTCTAATGGACCTAATCATTAGATTGTTTCCAATTCTAATTGCATATGTTGCCACAGTGAAAGCTCTGTGTCTATGAATAGAAGTTTATTTTGGTCTACATTGGTCTAAGCAAAGAGTTCTTAGACATGCACTTAAAACCACAGGCAACGTAAGCAAAAATAAACAAATGGGATTGTATCAAACTAAAAAGATTCTACAAAGTAAAAGAAACAATTAATAGAGTGGAAGACAACTCATAGATTGTGAGAAAATATTTGCAACCTTATAAGGGGCAAACACCGAAAATATATAAGAAATTCAAACAACCTCAATAGCAACAACTCAATAAAAAATAGCCAAAAGGCATAAGTAGATGCTTCTGAAAAGAAGACATACAAATGGCCCACAGATAAATCAAAAGTGTTCATCATTACTAATCATCAGGGAAATCCAAATTAAAACCACAGCGTGATACTACCACAGACCTGTTAAAATAGCTTTGTATTAAAAAAAAAAGGTGGAAGATAACATTTCTCAAAAAACTAAAACTAGAATTACCACATGATCCAGCAATCCTACTTCTAAACATACATTCAAAGGACGTGAAATCAGTATGTGAAGAAATATCTGCACTTCCATATTCACTGCAGCATTATTCACAGTAGCTAAGCTATGGAAACAACCTAGATATCCCACATCAGATGAACAGATAAAGAAAATATGGTGTGTATATATATATACACAATAAAATATTACTCAGCCTTACAAGGGGTAAAATCATGTCATTCGTGACAAGATAAATGTACCTGGAAGACATTATGCGCAAAATTTATTTATGTTTTATATGTATCTTATATACATAGACTGAAAGTAATTTTGTACAGTACATATTTTTACACTGAAGCATTTTGACTACAACTTGTAACATGAGGCTGAGTGTGGAATTTTCTACTTGTGGTGTCATGTATGTGCTCAAAAAGTTTCAGATTTGGGAACATTTCAGATTTTAGACTTTTGTTTAGTGATTCTCAACCTGTAAATGGAATCATCTGTATTTCTTTTATAACTGGTTTCTTTCACTTAGCATGGAATGGATATACTGTATTTTGCTTATTCATTCATCCATTGATGGATATTTAGGTTGTTCCTGCTTATGGCTATGATAAGTAATGCTGCTATCAACATTAATATGCAATTTTTTGAATATACATATGTTTAGATTTTCTTGGTTATACATATTTTTTATTCACCTAGCAGTGGAATTGCTGGGTCATATGGTAACTCTATGTTTAACACTTTTAGAAACTACCAAACTAGGAAAGGATTCCAAAAACTTGTAGAAAAATGGAATGAAAGAATGAGTTTATTTTACTGTGAAGATATTTGAAGTTCGGGCATAGTTTTTTTCATAATACACATTTTCCATAAATTTTTGAAGACCCCTTGTATTTTTCAAAGTGATTGTAACATTCAAAAATGCCATTAGTGATGTAATAAGGGTTTCAGTTTCTCCTCATTCTTACTTTTAACATTCTTGTTATGTCTTTCTTTTTGATACTAACCATTCTAGTGGGTGTGAAGTAATATCTACTTTTGGTTTTAATTTGTATTTACTTGATAATTAATGGTATTGAACACTTTTTCACATACTTATTGACAATTCATATGTTATCTTTGGAGAAATGTCTATTCAAATGCTTTATCAATTTTTTTGAGGGACAGTAATTAGCTTTTTTTAATTTGAATTGTTAAGAGTTCTTCAGGTATTATGAATATAAGCCCCTTATCAGATACATTATTTACAGATATTTTCTCCAATCTGTAAGTTGTCTTTTTGCTCAATTGAGGTGAGTTGGAGAATTTTTACATTTGTAGTTTTCATATTTCCTTAGAACTTCAATTTTCAAAATTGTTTCAGTATTATCTGCTTAGTGACTCACAAGCTAGACAGCACTGAAGTGAACAATGCTATATGCACATCGTATTCATTCATCAGTAACTACCACATTAGTCACAAAACACAGACTTCTCATTATAACTTAGATCTCAGCCAGTGGGAGAAAAACTGTTTTGATAAAGCAAAGGAGAAGTTTTCACACCTAATTAGAGTTTGAATTTAATAAAAAGCATTAAAAAACATTCCTATATTTTTAAACTGCAGATTTGTTCATTCAAAAGTGCTTGTATTTTTGTTTAACCTGATGTCTTCCTTATTCTTTCTTTTTTATTTTTTATTCTTTCTTTCTCTTCTCTCCTCGTATCTGTTCTTTTTATTTTCCTCCTTTCTCCTTCTTGTTTTATACTTCTATTTCAGACTGAAAATGGCTCAGGAATCAGTCAGCAAGTTGACATCAGAGAAGAAAGTGGAGACAAAGAGAATCAATCCCACTGCTAGTCTGGTGAGATGCATTTTTCATCATAACCTCTAGGTTTTTTGTTATAACTTAAGTTTATAACTTAGCTTTGTTATAACACTCGGGAATGTGTCTGAATTTAAAGGATAAAATTTCGGGATGAAATGTTGTACCTAGATTTGCATTCCAATCTTAGAGTAGCGCGAGGTAGAAAAGAATACCTCAGGGTGTGTAGCTTCATACATGACCTCTGCAAACTCACAAAGGTCATTTTTAATCAACAGAATTTAGTCACGTGTCATTTCACATCTTTCCACACCCCAACCAGCTGGTGATCCACTGATGTTGAAGTAGCTTTCTCCTAAAATGTTGATGTATATTCACTTCCATCAGTTTTCCCAATTAAAGAAAGGAGTAGAAATCGTCCTGTTTATTTTGATAGTTGAGAAAATTGCTATGCAGAATGATACAGTCCATCTAGGGTCATTTGACAAATGGATAGTGAATACTAGACCAGTCTCTGGATACCTCCACATCTCTCTCTGCACTGGAAACCAGAATTCTAATCAGTCTTCCTTGGTTTGAGAGAAAGTTGTCCTCCAAATCCAATTTTCTGTCAATATCACAGTCAGTTTCCACCTATATGTTACAGACAATAATCACAATAGGTAAATCGTTAGGAACCCAAGATATTGGGGATGAAACTGGGTTCAAATCCCAACTCTGTTACATAATATTTGTAAAATGTTGGTGAAGTTACTTTGCTTCTGTCTTCAGTGTAAATATGTAACTAATACTATCTTTTTTTTATGATTATTTTGAGGAACCTGGGCAAATACATGTAAAATGCCTAGCACAAAATTAAGAGCTCAATAAAGTTAGCTCCTTTTCTTGTTACTATGAATTTCTACAGCTTTGGTTGACCCAGCTGTGGTTGCCCCACTCTATCACTCTCCTCAACTTGAATTTCAAACCTGATCTTTCCTAGGCCTTTATGTCCTATGGCGACTTATGTCACATAACTACTTATTTTATCTCTTCACTTTACAAGTACTTTTGCCAGCTGCCTTACATTCTGTGAAAACATCTACATAGTATCTAAACTGTAAAGTGAGATTACTTTTGTTGATTGGCCATGGTGTCTCTTATAACAACCCTATCAGCAGCCAAATGAATCTTGAATGAGGTTGATAAATGAGAAAAGTGAATTCAGGGCCATTCAGGTAGATCAGGTAAAGCCATGGTTAATGCACATAGCCCTTATTGGAATGGATACATCCTCTATGCCTGTTTGATGAGACCTTTATTACAGCAATCTGTATGATTTTCAGTGGCAATAGGCTTAACCCCAATTTTTGTCTTTCTCCTTCATTGGCTACTACCCTTTTCCCCAGGCCTCTTATATGGGCTTCTATCCAGAGTTTTACAGCTAAATCTGTTCCCTTGAAGCAGATAGAACAGGGTCAGCACTATAGACAAAGAAAAAACTATGTGTTTACTGTGACGTTCTTTTATAGCTTGATTTCCATTGTGAGCAAGCTTCTAGTTCCAGTTGTAGTCTTCAACTCATTCAGATGTTTGTTTTATTGTTTTTATGTGTGGGTAGAAATTAGGGATAAGCTTGTAAACTGAAATCTGATTCTATTTCACAAGTGACAGATACAGTCCAAACTCAGGATCAGTATATAAAAATCATTAAGTTGATCTAGCTACATTAGCACCTGCTGGTTAATGCTGCTATCCAAAAGCTGGGACCACATTGGATGCCTGGGTTCTATTTCTGGCCAACTCTAAAATCCAGGCACAGTGGCATACACCTGCAGCCCCAGCTACTTGGGAAGCTGAGGCAGGAGGAGCACAACATAGCTAGAGGTTGTCTTAAAAGAAGATAAATATTATGTACTTAACTTTACATTTATTCCAGTTTAGTAGTTCACTGCAACACCATATCTCATAGAGCACAAGTAGCTGAGAATAGTTTCTAAAAGGAGTTTTTTCTTTGTATCTGTCCTTTCCAAAGAAGTATACTTTTCTTTTCTCATCTTCTACTTGACCTCCCCAAAAGCAGACACATTCATTCTTATTATGCTTAAAATATTTACTTTCCTTGAGTCACAGAAACAGTAAGGGTCTGTGAGCTCTTATTTTTACATCTTTCCAGTAGAATTCCATGCCCTTTCCCTTGGAAAGGAAGCTTAGGAGAGAGCAGAGAAAGTTATCTAAGGCAAAATGGGCCAGCCATTCTGCATTGAGTAAATCTGATCATTTTCCACTTTATATGGTCTTTGTTCATTTCTTCCAAGTTGATCACTTCCAGATCCATTCAGTTTGGAGGCAATATGTTTTTTCTTATCCTTATTCTCTAGAAACTAATTCTTGAACATTCCTTAATTGATCAGTGATCCAAAAGTAGGGATAGGAAAAGTGTCTGAATAGCAGAGTTATTGTCATAGAGAAAGAATAGGACAAGCCAGCCTGGCATATAAGATTGGTATTATTGATAGATGTAGCTGGCTAATTAGCTGGTTATTTGTTTTTCATTTTTGGAGGGACATAAAGGTGGAGAGAAGGTAACTAGAACGGTCAGAGATATTCTCATTTTTAGTGTGTTTGGTGCAAATTTACTTAGTCCTGTAGATCAAAATTTGAGAAATTTATCAATAGTTGAGAAAGATGTTTAAAAATCTGATGAAGCAATGATAATAAATCCACTTTTTTTTCTTTAACAACAGAAAGAAAGACTGCGACAGAAGGAAGCCAGCGTGACCACCAACTGAGATGGAGACACATGAAAACAGTGACAGCAGAGATGTCGTACCTTGCATGCTCCTTTGTGACACTGGTGCTGCAGGATGTTCTTGAAAGATATGTCATGAAAATATTTGTTTTGCTCATCACTTTCTGAGGTCATCTGCAAAGAGTACCCTGTGCCTTCTTTAAGAATTTCCCTATTAAGCCACAGGAACAATACATAACTGTTAAAGGCAATGTTATAAGACTATTCAATAATTGCTTTTGTGAAAGTTCAGACTACTTCATTATACGACCAGAAGAACTACCAAGATTTTCCAATTTTTTTTTTTAAGCTGAGATTTCAAGCTTGATATCTATAATCTTGTCATAGACAAAGAGAAGGACCTTTTTATGACAGTTGCCTTGGGAGAGTTCAGACATTGGTCTTTACATGCTGTTGTTTTGATTGTTGGTCTTATTTTTTATCTTGTTTCAGCAAAATCCTACAGAATATTTCTCACTAAAAATGTTAAAACTTACCAAAACTATTTTTTTAAAGTCCAAGACTGTAGGAGAATGATTTCACTGTTTTCCATATAATAGAAAGGAGAGAGAATGGAATTGTGTGTGAGTGATAAATAGCCACAGACTTCATGGAAAACAAATTATGATGCAGGCAGTTGACATCAGCTATTCAGTGAAGCCCCCCCTTTTTTTTTTTAATCAGTTTATTGTGATTTCCTTGACTGGCAGAGGTTCTGCACCCCAAATCCTAGAAGAAACTCTGATATCTGTTCAAAGTCAGCACCTGCTTAGACAAACTACCTAGTGTCAGAGCACCTTTCATGTTTCCCACTGTTTATGAGTGAACAATGCTGTGTGCACAGACAAGGTGAGTTCTCCGTCACATTCTGTGACCGTGTGGCTGGATCTCTCCCACTACTCCCAGGAGGCGGTTTCCAGACAGAAGAGTAAATGCTACTTACAGCCTTTTATCATGGCCTTGGCACATGGAGTCTGGTAAATCAGGAGTCTTTGAAGTAGAAAAACGTAAGGACAGAAGAACAGTTCTTTACATCAAAATGAAAAGAAGGTGATCACATCAGTATTAAACTTTGAGTGAGAAACACATCAGAAGCCTGAGTCACAGAGGGAAATCACCTTTTATTTTCCTTACGGCCCCCTACTCTTTGACTCTATCATGTGACGGGAGAAGAACTGGGTGAACTGAGAAAAGGATCAAAGACTATCATTCTTATGCTTTGAAGGGAGAACCAAGCTTTCTCCTCCAATTGTTGGAAGACTGTCTAGAGATGAGCGAGACTCTCATTTCCTTCCTAATCCAGCTGCCCCATGGAGCCTGCTCCTAGTTCCAGTATCTTCCCAGAACTTTTGAACTTGCCAGGTGCCTGAAAGTCTTTTCGAAATATGCCTGCCAATCATCAGCTCCCTCAGGGACAGTCCTATAACCAATTCAGCCAATGCGTATCCTAATATAATACCAACCTCGGGAATCAAGAATGCACAGTCAAGATCAAATCAAGACACTGAAGCCATATTCTTGCAGGTGCTAATCATTCTTTTTGATAGTTCAAAAGGAAGGAATATGGTAACTCTATCATTACTACTACTACTACTATTATTATTATTATTTTAAAGTGAAGAAATGAGACAAGCAAAATAGAAAAGCTGTTAAGGAACTTCCATGATTAAAATGACTTGAATTTGCTTGTGAGCAAGAAGCTTTCCATACTGCTTTCTTATGTGAGTTCTCTTATTTTCACTTGACTGTGAAGAAAAACAAGAGAATTCACCAGTTTAAAATAAATTCCTCTTATAGCCATCCTCTGCTTCATGACGTTCCATCTAGTCTCATTGTATAGAAGAAAAGTGCCAGTTTTCCACATGCCTTGGAACTCAACCTGAAGGAATCTGAAGGCCTTTAAAATGATCCCTCTGAGATGCAGCTGAGATTGTGTTAAATGTGACAGATGTGTCCAAACATCTTTAATGGAGAAAAGGTGGTTGGGTTATTGCCTAGCAGCTTGAGCACTTGAAGCAAATAGGGTTATGTGGCTTTTCTAGGCACAGCCTCCCCTGAATTAGACAGGAGAATGGACAAGATTGCTACACCGCGTTAACTAGACACATAAATGTGACTCACTAGTCAGATTCTAGGGAGGCTTAACTTACAAATAGCTTTGTCCCTTTGTAGGCAAGATTCATGAAGTCTAAAGGCACAGTCTGACAGCAGTTCAGATCCTTGCATGAGTAATTGACAACAGTCACTAAGCATGCAAGTATATTCCATATTACCCTAAAGCATTATGTTGGCATTTTAGGTGAAAGGCATTAAACCTGTGAAGCATCAACAATCAGATTAGGAGATATGATGTTTGTTTTTTTAACCCAAGAAGAGACAACTTGCTGGAAAAATTAGTGTGGCTGAGAAAATGGTGGACATGATGGTAGTGGAGGCTGGGGTCATAAGAGATGGCCGTTACCCAGCAGTTGCTTTTTCATTCTTTATATTGATTATCCATGATGTCTTTTCACACATTCATTGTAACTACTTTGGAATTATGGAGAAATAATTTATAAAATCAGAGGTAAAGTAAGGAAATCCAGTGGTGCTGTTACATGTTTAAATGTTCTAGCTAAAGCAAATTGCTGGCATGGTTGTGGAATTGGATATCAGTTTGAGTGTTGGCCTCACCTACCCTAGTAAACTCAGTAGAAGCTATGTATCTGCTGCGTCTCCTCTAGAACCCTTCTTTTTCATAAGTAACATAAGGCCTTTCCCAGATGGAAAGCTCATATAGTCCTGCTGGAAAAACTGAAGGAAAAAATACAGCATGTTGGTGGCATTATACACCTCCAGCAAAATTAAAAAGTCATTAGTATGGTTTTTCCAAGGACCATAATCGGATATAGCAGAAGAGATGTAAGTGTTTTTTTGGTAAAAATTTCTCTGTTGGCCTGATTGTAGTCTCTCTAAGATGCTGCTGCCTACAAAAGGGAAGTTGTCATTTTAATTATATTTTTGTTTTCTGAAAGTTCTGTTCTTATTTTCATTTCTACTTTGTCCTTGCCTAGCATTATTGATACAGGATATAGTATCCAGCAGGACCACAAACTGTGACTCATCAGTGTATTAAAGGGAAGAAGCAGTGCAGACCTGTAGGCTCTGTTTTCCAGTAATCAGACTGTAACATTAATGAGGAACCCCTTTCTTAATTCCCTGATATCCTAAATTGGTCTATTGTATAGTGCTGGTGTCCACCCCACCTTAAACAACAACAAAGATAAAAGTCAACTTGAGGCCTTATTAGGTGAGAAAAGAGAAGAAATTCAAAAACATAGCCTTCTCCCCTTCTCCACATATCTGACCCAAATGTCAAATATCTGATTTTACTAAGTAGTTTGAATTATTTTTAAAAAACAGTATCTTTTTGACTTGAGCTTTATTTATTTATTTATTTTTGATCCTCACTGTTCTGAATCAGAGCCTCCCCCCAAAATAAAAAGGCCAAAAGGTAGATGGCAGATAAAAAGCTTCAGCAGATTTTGTAATCCACAAATTAGCTTATCAGTTTGTCAGCTCCTGAACCACAAACAATAGACATATTGTGAAATCTCAATGTTTTAGAAATTTGAAGCACATAAAAATTTAAACAACTATGATGGTTAATGGTTATGAAAAGAATAAGAACAAACTACTGCCCACTTGAGAGTTCAGCCTCAATAGGCAATTTTTAGATTATGGCTTTGAAAAAGCCAAGGATTATCCTGAATAGTATTTTTTTGTTTGTTTGTTTGTTTGAAAACCTACGTGTAAGAAGTAATGGTGTTATGTAATAGGAGCAATGCTAGACCATTAAAATTTTCTTTTTCTGGCTTCTCATAAGAATGCACTTTATAAATAATTAGAACATCCAGAAGGCCACAAATACTCCACATCATATGTTAGCTATTTTTACCTTCAGGGACCCTACAACTAAAAAGAGTCAATTGAACAAAAAAAATGAACTTTCATGCATGCCTGTCACTTTATCCTTATAAAGAAACCTGCCACATAGGTAAAACAAATCTATGTGGCCAACCTGAAAGGATTTCAAAAGAAGGATTTCAAAAGAAAGGCATTTTAAGCCTTTCCGAAATACAAATAACTTATTGGATACGTTTCCATTTTCCAGCTATAGAAACACAGTCAGGCTGCTTGGAAACTCTTATTGGTGCAGAATTAACTTAAAGGAAAGCACCTTCAAAAACCAGGCTCGGCAGATCTTTCTCCTTTAGACTTACATGGCAATATTCCTAAGGTCATTAGCAGCGGAATCCAGGCATAACCAGGCTGTTACACAGCTTCATGTGACTGTCAGAAGCCCATTTTGTGACATTTTTGCACATCCGTCAGCTGTTGACACCTTGTTAGAAGCACTGAATTTTAGTTTCACAATTCTTCATCTCCCTTCCCAAGAAGTGGGCAATCTACCAAGTTCTCCCAGATCAGTGCTTTGCTGAGAAGCAGTGAATTTAAGAGAATTTTAACATGTCAAACTTGAAGCCAATTCAGTAGCCTTATTTGTTCCAAGACTCTTAACCAATACTGTGATATAAACTTAGCATTTTGGACATTTGTGTAGTTAACAGCCTTCTTGAAAACGCAAAGGTATTAAAATGGCAACTAGCTAACTCGGGCTCTTAAACCACCCTGCAGTTTCTACCAACAAAGAGATTAGGGAGGCAAATCAAGCCTCACTCTGTATGTCAGCTGATCTCAAGTAAAATTTACTGGATTCATTTTGCACTCTACCCACAGCCCTTCTCCTAACTACCCTGGTGATTACCAGTGCCATTGAGGATCTTTTCTCTCTCTCCTCTGATATGGTGGTTCCCTTTAGTCAATAGCTCGCATGAACTCCAGACTTCAGTGTGTATCACATCTATGAAGTACTTAATCTGGGGAAGAATAACTTAATCTCAATTTTCCATATGAAAGTGATAGATAAAAAGCCATTAGTCTATTCCTCTGCATATTATGTATACTCATATACTTTTCTATTTTTTAAGCTTTTCTTAAATTGGGGATTCTCAAAATCCCCAATCTGTTTCCTTTTCTGAAGGCTGATCCAATTACTTCTGTTGGCTATTTTTTTGGTTCTTTGTATGAAACTTGATAACATTAGGCTAGCAAAATTGAAAAAAGTCCACAGTTTCAGTAGAAATTCACAACCAAAGAATATGTCATGGAATAAGCAACCTTCTAGCATACTTGAACTGTCACATACACTGAATATGTCACCAAATTTTACCTGTACAGACACTGAGACATTATGAAACTCTTCAAAAGAATAAATATTCCTCCCCATCTATAGTGTAAGCTGCCAATGCATTATCTTATACTTAGCGTATCGAGCGAATCATGTGTTTTCGGGCATGCAGCAGCAATGCTTCATCAGCATCTTTGGCAAAGTCGTACCTATTTTCCTTCATCATTCTCTTCCAGAGCTTCCTTACACTTACATCTCATGAAGCAAATGTATTTTTGACTCTTCAAGTGAGTTAGCTTTCCAGGTCCACCTTTCCAAAATGAGAGATTAATCCCATAGACCACTGAGCACATAGGGACATTCCTCTGTATCTCCCCATGCTATGGACAATATATGTTTAGAAATGAGATGAACAACTCTTTGGTAACTCTTGGGATAGAATTTTGAATTCCATTTTCTTTCTATGAGGTTTATAAAAGGGAGTACATAGCACACAAAAATTGTAATGCTCTTCCCAAGAAGAAATTTGAAGGACATTCAGAATTTACATTTTAGGTATGTTTGAATAAAGTATAAATAGCTCCTTTTTGTTCTTCTTTACAACTTGTCTGTAAATATAATCTTATTTCCATCATGTATCAGATCACCAAGGCATAAAGAAGGTAGTCTTAGCTCCACTGAGGCATTCATTTCCATTGGAAACAAATCCATGTATGGGAAGGAAAGTCTAGTAACAATCCTCCTGTTTTCCTGCAGTGACACAAATAGGATTTGGGGGTCTACTAAAACATCTGTCTATCCCAAAATTGTCAGTTTTATAGTAATGCAATTCTACAATTCCCAAGACACAAATAATGCAACCCCACTGCCACCTGTGTATAGACTCTTTAAAAGGTATATGTGTTAAGAGAAAAGAACTTTCCTTTAAAGAGATAATCTAAGATACTCTTAAAAAGACAAAACATTTAAAATTAGAAGTTGGATCATTTTTAAGAATCTTTAGAGAAAACATGTCATTGATTCATCATAGTCTTTTCCTTTTGTTGAGTTTTAATTTAGACTAGCGTGGGAAGCAGGTTGTTCTTGGATTTTGGTTTAGGGAATCATGCTTTGGCCTGGAAAATAAGCACTAGCCTGCATGCCCAGAACCTAAGTGAGATCATTCAGCATCCTAATATGAATCAGACCTAACAGAAATGTAAATTACTTCAAGTGCTGCAGTGTTTCATTTTCTTAATGATACTCTGAACCTTGGATGCTGCTTCCTAAAATGCATTTGATCCATGTGGTCATTTGTCTTCATTCAGCCTTGTGAGCTTGCAAGCAATGAAATGAAAGAAAAGCAGGAGACAAGAGAGAAGGAAAATTTGAACAAGGCCAGTGCAATGTTTTGCTGAGATAATGCATCATTAGGGAGCTGGTAATCTTTGCCATGGTTATATCATGTGCAGCTTTTCGATGGAAATTCCAGAAATCCATATTAGATAAACGGGAGTGCCCAGTATCTTGTATTGTTACTGTGAGACCATGTGCTGGAAAAGCAGGTACCCCTATGAAACTGGCCTGCAATTGGTTTAAAAGTTCCTTCAATTTCAGAACATTTCTATGAGATTACTTGTCCATGGACCTTCACGTTTTCTCTTAGCTTATCCTAAAGTGATTCCGGCACCTAACCTCATTTTACTTCTCTTTTCTCAGTACATCTGCTTCAGCCTCCCTTTCCTTCACATCCCACAGCTAAGTTTTCCTTACTTTGCCTTTACAGTTTCTCCTGGACTCAGCTTTTCTCACCTCTCTGCATCATAGGCACCCGACTGTCTCCCTCAGACCTTACTCCATCCTCTCACACCCTGTGTGCCATTTCTGGGCCTTTGGACAGGGAACTCCACTGTCACCAAGAAGCCCACGTGAGACATGCTGGTGTGACTGCCTCTTGTTAATGTCAGCATCACCTCATCACTTAGGCAAAGGGGAAAATCCATAAAAGTGATGGAAAATGCATTTCTTTTTCATTTTATTCTACTTTATTTTAAGGAAGTGGGAGGGCTTTGGGGAAGAGTTGTTCTAATCCTTCTCAGTTTCTCCTACGTTTTATTTTAAAACTATCCAATGGGTGGCCATTCTTTTGATCAAGTTGTAAATCAGATGAGATCATCAGCTATGATGCATAAGACTAAATTTTTTTTTATCTCAAGTAACTTTCTGTGCTGCTGGACAAACTGACTGAATTCAAACATTTTGAATCATAAGGCTTTTTTATTGTCTCTGCATTCTTACTACTACACTTAGTTCAAAGATATACCCCTAATCTGAGTCAGGATATTCATACTTTGTGGTTATTTTCAGATTAATAGTAACAGTTACACTTTTGAATGCATATACAGAAAGTATAAGTGTGTACTGAATAGTCAACTATGTGACCTGGTAAAAGGTTGGCTTTTCTGTTTAATTAACTATTAGGCCAATCTTTAGATTTCATCTTAAAGGCTTTTAAGCAATAACGAAGACACTGGGGAAAAGAGAAGGCACTTTAAAGACATGAAACCTTACACTACATGCTCTTGGACATTTCTAAATATAATAAGCTAATTGGATTCAGGTATTTTTCCCTTTACACTTTTAAAAATATGTATTTCTAATTTGCATATTTAATTTTGTCAAAGCTGGGAAACGCTAATGAGTTGAATGTGTAAATGTCATTTGCAACTAAATGAAGTATTTATTTTTAAAAAGAAAGGGTGAAGAAACCAATATTGATTTGTACATAATGAAAATGTGTGTGTGTGTGTGTGTGTGTGTGTGTGTGTGTGTGTTTTCCTCCTTGACACTACTTGATCACCATATCAAGTATATTTTTGTATATAATATATATTGGTCAGTAAAATGTAGATTGTCTATTCAAAGAATTCTATCTCTGATAGATTATATTTATCCTAATCTGTTGATACCTCTGTTAATTTGTTTTAAGAGATAGAACTATATTTTTTGGAATTTGCAGAGAATTGCGTTCATGGCTCCCAATTGTAAATATGCTAAGGGTATTTTAATAAATCTTGGTTTCATGTCCATCTGGTGTGTAATGCATATTTGTTTTCAAGAGGTGTTTAAAACAATATCACAAAAATACCCTGATACCTGGGAATATCAGTCCTTTCTCACTTGATTATCACTCAGGTGCAGTGTTACTGCTGAGCTACAAGAACTGGGTTTTGGTACCAAGACCATTGATGATTTATATTTCCTTCTTTCTGCCCTGTTCACCATAGCAACAATAGGCAATCTGACTAGACATTCAGGGCTAACAACAAATAGATAAACCCAATCAGGCACTGTATCAGCTAGGCTGACCCAAAAGCAATGTGGCCTAAACACTGCCCAAGGCAATGGCACATGAGGATTGGCAACCTCAAGTTAAAGATTGAAGTCAATGTACAAGAAAAACAAAACAACATATAATTGTATGTATTCTGGCGCTAAGTACAAGATACAAATTCTTTTCAAGCAATGGTATGAAACATGCAGATATTTTATGAACAAAAAACATTTTAAGCAAAACATTAAAGTTCAAGTGTAAATTTTTAAATGGATTCATTTGTTCATTTTGCTGAATGTCATAGTCTAGGTCTCTAGATGTTTTCTGAAATATGCCTCCTTATGCTTAGAAACATTTAATGAACAGGCATAGTTATTCTCTAGAAAGACATTTTATCATTAGGAGATCTAACACATAGAGTCATTAGGCTGCAGAAATTTTTGGACATTGGAGAAAACTTCAGTAAACTACTTAATTTCAAGGGACTTGCTGAAAAATAACACTCAGTGTTAGTGAACACATTGAGATTTGAACCCACATCTTGACACAAAGGCCAAAACCCTTCCAACTGCTTGATTCATTCATCAAATTAAACAGCTTTCTTCTTCAAAATAGTGTTATGGAGAAATGTTCTAGAACTATTGTTATCTAGGAAAGGTATGAATGCTTCTGAAGTTTTGTAAGCGATATTACTGAGTACCTAGCACAGGGCAGAGGGGCCTTTGTATCATGAGGAACTGGGGTGGGGGTGGGGGTGGGAGGAATACCGGTCTACCTTAGGAAGAAGCTCTTCTCTGTTTACAAATATTTTATTTATTTCTTCCATTAGTGAGAGAGAGAGAGACAACAACCCCATAAGATATTGATGCCACGATACACCTCCATCTTCAGTGAGCACCATGCGTCATGGGATCCATGTATTTGGCATACTCAGGGAAGTCTCTGGATGCAAAATGGGAAAGTTCCCATATAAGTTAGTCCTGAAAAGCAGTACACTTTATCATTGACCCATTGTCTAACCCTCTTGCTCTCTAGTTTAACCAAGATTCATTCTTCTTAGATGAATTTATAAGTAGACATTTTACCCTATTCTTTAATAGTCTATAGCTTCGGGTTCAACTAATAGGCTGTCTTAGTACCTTTTGTGCTGTTACAACAATATCCGAGACTCCACAGTTCTGAAGACTGAATGAAGTTCAATATGAAGGTATCTGGCAAGGGCCTTCTTGCTAAATCATCACATGGAAGGAGGCAGAAGAGCCAAAAGGCAAAAGGGGATGGAATTTGGCCCTTTCATAACAGAATTAACCCTAGCCATGAGGGTATCACCTTTGTGACTGATAACCTCTTTAATGTTCAACCCCTTAATACTATTAGTATGGCAATTAAACTTTAATATGAATTTTGGAGGGAACAAACATTCAAACCAAAACATAGGCCGTAAATTCCTGGGACTAAATATTTCACCTCTAGCTGCTCACTTTCACTTTGCCGTGACTGTATTCATGGAAATAAGACATTCTGGCTGATTTGTACTGGCCCTACTAAAATTACTTTGATGTCTCTGAGTCTAAATCTTCTCAAGGTAGCATTTACTTCATGCCCATCATTATGTGATGATGAATGGTAAGAGTGGTTAACTATTAGCTACTAAAAAACTACCCAAAATTTAGTGGACCGAAGTAGCCATAGTTCTTATTTCTCATAGTTTTTATTGGTGAAGAATCTGGAAAGGGCTCAGCGAGGCAGCTCTTGGAGTTTCTCCTAAGGTTAGCAATATGTCAATTGAGTCTGTTGTCACCTGAAAACTGGAGGCCCTGAATAGGGCTGTAAAATGCATCTCCATGGTGGCTGTCTGAGTTGGCAAATTGGTGCTGGCTCTAGGCTTGAGACCTCAGCTCCTCTCCACATGGGCCTCTTGAGTGCCCCAAGGTGAAACATGTAATGCTTTTTATTAACCAAGGCTCAGAAGTCACTTTCATCATATTCTATTGGTTAAGACACTTACAAAAGTCTTCCAGGTTGAAGGAGGGGAAACTAGATCCTTTTCTTGATGAAGGAATGTCAGCACCACATTGTAAAAGTATGCAGGATGGGATATGTATAGGTGTGACTATCTTTGAAAAATACAGCCTGTCACAGTAGCTTGCCCTATTCTATCTAATCCTCCTTCCTGTGTTATTTGTTTTCCTAAAATTAAGGTTCTGTTTTCTTCAAAAGTTTTCCTACTTATTTTCCCCAAATCTTCTGCCTCTACTATCAGAACAAAGATATGTTTGTCTTGTTTCTCTGAATAGAGATATTTTTTACCTTGAAGAAAGTGAGAAGGATCTTAACTAGTGGAGGATATGACTGACTTCGCAGTTTGTAACCAACTTGGTGAACACTGGTGGAAAAAAGAACTCAGAGGTGAACCTATGATTTTACTCCCAAAATCATCAGCCTGCATTTCTCATCATGTGATATGAGTAGGAGAGATGCTAATCCCTACTGAAGATCAGTCTTGGCCAGTAAGTTCATAAAAATCACACCTTTACAGTGACTTAGAATAGAGTTTTCTATGAATACATATATATATATATATATATATACACACACACACAGGTACACACATACATACACATATATATACACATATATTACTATAATAGTATATTATTGAGCCTTAAAAAGGAAGGAAATTCTGACACATTCTACAACGTAGATGAATTTTGAAGGCACGATGCTATGTGAAATAAGCCAGTCACAAAAAGAAAAATACTGTATGATTCCACTTATATGAGTACCTAGAGTAGTCAAATTCATAGAGACAGAAAGTAGAATAGTCACTGTTGGACTAAGAAAGAGGGCATAAAAGTTATTCTTTAACAGGTACAGAAATTTAGTTTGGGAAGATGAGGTTTTGGAGATGGGTGGTGGTGATGGTCAAACAACAATGTGAATGTACTTAATGGCATAGAACTGAACAGTTAAAGATGGCTGAAATGGTAAGTTTTATGCATATTTTACCATAATAAAAAATTAGTGTGTGTGACTTTCTGTGTACCAGATATTGTGTTAAGTATTTTCTATTTATTATTTTGTTTAATCCTCATAGTAATCCTATGAGGTAAAGATGAATATTGTCCCCATTTTACAGATAAGAAAACTGAGGCAGAGTAGTTGATGACTTTCCCATCAATTGGTAAGTAGGGAAACTGAAATTCAGATACTCAAAAAAAACCAAAACCCCTTCTAGCCACTATCCTAGTTCCAAGGTCATATTTTTAAGAAATAATAAAATTTTGCTATTCACCAGATTCTTATTTTCACTGCTTTTAAAAACCTTAGTGTACTTTTGGGACCAGCAGTTAGCGTAATGGCTATGTCGCTGGACTCCCATATAGTCAACCGTGGTTTGCGTCCCGGACCCGGTGGCTTAAAACTCACACCAAGCGCGTATGCGTGTGTGCCCAAGATCCCAAAAGGAGAATGGAGGAGAAGGGATTGTGGCGTTGCCATCCCCCCAGGGGGTGATTTCTCGTTTTCTGTCTCTCTGTCTTTCTCTGCCTTTCTGCTGAGCACATGCGCCCTATAGCAAAAACCTCTCCAAAAAAGCCCAAAAAAACCTTAGTGTACTTTTTATGGACTATCTGACCTGAGAATATTGGATCCACCAGCCCTCCTGTGAAAGGCACAGAGACTGTGTGTGTGTGTGTGTGTGTGTGTGTGTGCATACATGCACATCCTTAATCATTATATATATATATGTACATATGTATTTTTTACATTTGTAGTCATTAAATATATATATATATATTTTTAGTCATTAAATATATATACTTTAAATATAA